TACTTTCCTTGACAACATATAATAATCAATTGGTATTCCCTCTTTACGAACTTAATGAAACCAATTGATCATTGCTTCCTCAAGTTCCAGGTTCTGTGGTTTCTTATTCGTTTATACGAGGATAAAAATTATCAATGTTTATTTAGAAATTGAACGCAAATGATAAACTTGCTTTGGAGAAATTACTATTTTCAGATGCTGTCCGACAACTTTGATTACTTTCTGTGAATTTTGATAAGGATCAATTAATTCAATATTTTTTATTTTGTCTCGTAACATCAATGATGTTCTTATATTAACACATTTGGATTGCATTAAAACTTAATGATTTAACAGATTTATTAAAAGTTTTTAAGTCGAAACAAAGTTAGATACAAAAGTTTTATTTATTATGTTAACTGTGTTAATATATTTGTCTTTGTTTTTTGATTTATTATGAAATTAATTATTTATTTAAGATAAAAATAATTGCCAATTGTTTTCAAGATATAGGCAAAGTGTTTATTTTGGTCAGGAAAAAAAATTATAATCAAAAAAAAATAATTTTTGTGACAAAAAACAAACCGAGGTATTTTTTTGTTAAATATATAATTCCTCATTTTTTCCCTTATATCGAATAACATTGGTACCTGGTATTCCCTTATATCGAATAATGACTGTATTATTAAATATTTAATGCGGTTATTTCAATCCTATACATTGTTTGTATGGAATTTTCCTTAACTTGCAAGAATTTGTTTTCAATACAGTCGTGTTGTTATTCAATACGATTTATCTAAAACGGATATTATAATTATAGTTTTTCTATTGTTTTTAATTTATATAATTATTACAATAATAATATAACTAGTTTATTTTTAACAATCAATTAGTATATGATACTAGTTTAATTATAATAACATATATTAAGTTTTCAAAGTAACAAAGAACTCATATTTAAACTATTTCACAAATAAAGACTTTTCTAAAACTCTGAACTTCAAATTGCAATGGTCAAATTTATTATTCACCATAACGTAGAGGGCACCACAATTTACTTTTCTCAGTTTTATCAAACGAACATCCAGTCCCGCAAGTTAGAAGCGTTAATGGAAATCATCACTGCTCACTTAAAAACCGACCAAGAACGAGAGGGTCCTTCTCCTTCTGACATTCTTCGGTTTTCAACGTACACGATAGAGAGTCAAGAGTATTCCGTCTCGTCTCTTAAACCACTTCAAGAGGAGTTTGAAGGTGTTCAAATATTGTATTGTGAAGTGGGTGGCATAGTAATAACACTTGGTCTTCATGAAAATGACAGTGTCTTTGTAGCTCAGAACTTTGTGACGAATTGGGTGTCTGCACTCAAGAAGTTGTACAAAACTAACCTCCTCAATAACATCTACGACAAAACTGACGAACTTCTTGCATACCTCGACAAACTACTTCCTC